TCTGATTAGTACCCCAATCACCACCTATCAATTAATCAATGAATTAGTCAATTGACCAATCGCCACCCACTAATTAATCATTCAACTGACCAATCACCATCCATCCATCAATCAATCAACTGACCAATCACCGCCCATCTATCAATCAATCAACTGACCAATCACCGCCCACCAATCAGTGACAACGTCCTGCCACCATTCTCAATGTCCAATCAGCACGAGTTCGTCATGAACAGTTACTACACGCCAACGATATGTGATGTATGTCGGAAGCTCCTCAAGTATGTTTCTTTTTTCTTACTCACTCCCTCATTAATTGATTGATTGATTGATTGATTGATTGATTGATTGATTGATTGATTGATTGATTGATTGATTGATTGATTGATTGATTGATTGATTGATTGATTGATTGATTGATTGATTGATTGATTGATTGATTGATTGATTGATTGATTGATTGATTGATTGATTGATTGATTGATTGATTGATTGATTGATTGATTGATTGATTGATTGATTGATTGATTGATTGATTGATTGATTGATTGATTGATTGATTGATTGATTGATTGATTGATTGATTGATTGATTGATTGATTGATTGATTGATTGATTGATTGATTGATTGATTGATTGATTCATCCATTGATTCATCCATTCATTCATTCATTCATGCATTCATTCATTCATTTCATTTCATTCACTTCGTTCACTCTCTCGTTCACCACTCACGTTGGCTCATGCTTTCGTTCTTTTATTAACTCTTTAATTTAACATTCGTTCACCCGTTTACACATTCATTCATTAGTTCATTCGTTTCATAATTATATAATTAGTATAATAATAATAATTATTATTATTATTCCTATCATATCTGTACAGAGGTGTCTTCTTCCAAGGCTACAGATGTTTAAGTTAGTTTATTAATATTATTTCCATTATTTGTTATTGTTTTTTTATTTGCTAGTTCATTCATTTATTCATTCCTTCTTTCATTTTTTCTTTCTTTCTTTCAGTCAGCCAGTCGTTCATTCATTCATTCTTCATTCATTCATTCATCCATCCATCCATTCATCCATTAATTAATTAATTAATTTATTCATTCATTCATTCATTCATTCATTCATTCATTCATTCATTCATTCATTCATTCATTCATTCATTCATTCATTCGTCCATCTATCCATTCACTCGTTCTTTCATTCATTCAATTAGTAATTGATTCGCTCAGTCATTCGCGTTTATAATTGCTTTATTGGAAGCAGTTCATCTCTAATGTATGCGCGATCCGAGTAGAATCTCGCTATCTTCCACAATTATAACTATATAATTATGACTATGACAATATTATTGTTCATTTTATTATTTCTATTCATATTTATTATATATATATATATATATAATTTGTTATTGTATATATATATTTGTATTAATTAATGAATGAATGAATTAGTTAATTAATGAATTAATTTATCTATTGATTGATTAATTGTTTATTAATTAAAATTTATTTTATTTGAATGATTCCTCAATAGAAACGGGGGCTAATGTTCACAAGGAGTGCATAGCTAGGGCAAAAGATGTCACTGGTAGGTTGATGAGGATGATGATGATGATGTTAATGGTGATGGTAATGATGACAGCGGCGGCAATGATGATGGTGATGATGGTGATCTTCTTCGTCGCCGTCATCATCTTCATCATCATCATCTTCTTCTTCATCATCAACATTCTCCTCCTCCTCCTCATCATCATCATCATCATCATCAATCATCACATTTGTTGTCTATACCACCATCATCGTCATCATCGTCATCATCATTTTAATCATCATCAGATTTATCATCATTATTATCATCATCATCATGATAATCACCATCAAATTCATCATCATCATTATTATTATCAAATTCATTATCATAATCACTCTCACCACCACCGCCACCACTACCATCAGGTCCACCAGTTATTCCACCGAAAAAGGATCGAGGCCTACCTCCTCCCACCCCAACTCACGACCACCACAACAACATCATCATCAACGCCAACATGTCATCGTCATCATCACTAATCACGTCATCCGCATCGTCATCGTCATCTTTCCAGAAACATTCCAAAGGTGGGCGTATCTTTTTATGTTTTTTCAGCGTTTATTTTTCAAAAAAAAACCTAAAAACCTCGTGTGTTCCTCTCAGTCAATCCAAAAATTAATACCAGAACAACTAAAACACAATTGTCCTTCTAAATTTTCAGCAGCTCTCTTGAGAATGTGTAAAAATAAATTAATTAATTGGTTAATTTGCTAATTGGTTAATTAATAAGAGTGTATAAACACTTTTAATCTGCTTATTGAACATCGGTTAAATCAAAAATTTGGTGATCGGCACAAACTGCCTGGCAAGCACTTTCTTTTCTTTCTTTCAGGTGCTTTGCTTGTCTGTCACTCGCTCATATCTTAACCTTATTTTTAATTCGTTGTCTGTTTAACCAATCTGTCAATCAGCCGATCAATCTATCTATATAACAATCTATCGTTCAATCAATCAATTAATTATTCAATCAATCAATCAATCACAAAAGTGAAAGCGATATCATCATACGAAGGCATACCAGCGCCGCCACACAATCAGCCCTGCATCACTTTCCAGGTGGATGACGTCTTCAATCTCATCAGCAACCAGGATTCTCATTGGTGGAAGGTTTCATTGATTGATTGATTGATTGACTGATTGATTAGTTGATTGATTGATTGATTGATTGATTGATTGATTGATTGATTGATTGATTGATTGATTGATTGATTGATTGATTGATTGATTGATTGACTGACTGACTGACTGACTGACTGACTGATTGATTGATTGATTGATTGATTGATCGATCGATTGAATGATTGACTCATCAGGGTAGATTAAAAGGAGCAGAGGGTTATTTCCCGAAAAGTTTCGTTGTCGTTTTGAATTCTCAAAAAGTTCGTTCATTCTTCTTCATATTTTGGAAAATTATATCACTCCAGTTATTCTTATGATGTGTTTGTTGCTTGTGTTTTCGCTGCTGCTGTCATTGTTGTTGTTCAGGATGATGATCGTTATCATCATAGTCCTTATTGTTATCATTATTGTTGTTATTATTATTATTGTTGTTGTTTTTAATGTTGTGGTTATATATATTTTCATTACTTATATTGTAAGTATTGTTGTTATTGTTGTTATTATTATTATTATTGTTGTTGTTAATGTTGTTGTTGTCCATGTTGTTGTTATATATCTTTTTATTATTTATATAGTAAGTATTGTATAATTATTTTCTTGCATCTTAATATTTATTTTATAAAATATATGTATCATTTTCTATCACTATCATTATTTATGTATCATTTTCTATCATTATCATTATTTTCCGCCACATCATCTGCCACTTGTGTTTATTATTGGTTGTAG